AAGGGGCACATGCCCAGGCTGGGGGCTTGATCCCCAGGAGGGGTGGTGCAGGAGACAGCCAGTCGATGTCTCTCTCTCACATCGATGTTCTTCTCCCTCACCCTTCCTCTCTCTCTAAAATCAGTAAACATGTTACAGAAAGGCGGGAGGGGAGGAGAGGGTGTGGGGGTCTGAGTGAGGAGGGGCTCACACAGTCAGGCACAGCTGAGCACTGTCTCCTCCCTCACGCCGCCCTCCTGGGCTGCTATCCTATCTCAGCCGTCCTGAGCATCCCAAACACCAGGCTGGGTGGGGGCAGCCTCGGCCAGGGAAACCTACCGGAGAGGAGAGTGAAGGTGACAGAGTAGATGCCACCTCCACCGCCGCCGCCGCCATCCCGTCGCGGGGCGGGCTCTGGTCCCTCAGAGGAGCTGATGTCCACCTGGAAGCGGACGGGCTTCTGGAAGACGGAGGGGCCACCGCTGGCCTTGTACTCGGCCCTGAAGCTGGTCTGTGACAGCACGCTGGAATCAAACCGGTGACCTTTTGGTGCACAGGACAGTGCTCAACCAATGGAGCCACAGCGGCCAGGGCTGCCTGTTAGTTTAAGGAAGAAAAAAAAAAGTGCCATAATTCATTTTGGCGATGCAACGCCCCAGTGTTCCACTGCAGCCTGGTTTGGAAACTGGGAGCAAGCTCATCTCCCATTGCGACATGTTAAAGTGGTGACGAGGACAGCAAACAGAGGTATCCATCGTCCTCCAACTCATTCTCAGGACCCAGGAACTAAGTAGGATTGGAAACAAGGCATTTCTGTGGTTCTCATTTCTTTTGCCAACTCTTTTTAAAAAAAATATTTTTATTGTTTTCAGAGAGGAAGGAAGAGGGAGAGAGAGAGAGAGAAAAAAAACCATCAATGATGAGAGAGAATCTCATTGATCAGCTGCCTCCTGCATGCCCCACACTGGGCATGTGCCCTCAAACCGGGCATGTGCCCTGACTGGGAATCAAACCTTGACCTCTTGGTTCATAGGTTGACACTTAGCCACTGAACCATG